TTGAATACTGTGTGCAGATGTGGTCGCCCCATCTCAAAAAAGATGTATTGGAATTGGAAAAGGTTCAGAAAAGGGCAACAAAAATGATTAGGGGTATAGAACGGCTTCCATATGAGGAGAGATTAATAAGACTGGGACTTTTCAGCTTGGAAAAGAGGCAACTATGGGGAGATATAATACAGGTCTATAAAATCATGAGTGGTATAGAGAAAGTAAATAAGGAAGTGTTATTTACTCCTTCTCATAATACAAGAACAAGAGGCCACCAAATAAAATTAATAGGTAGCAGGTTTAAAACAAACACAAGAAAGTATTTTTTCACGCAACACACTGTCAACCAGTGGAAATACTTGCCAGAGGGTGTTGTGAAGGCCAATACTATAACGGGATTCAAAAGGGAGCTAGATAGATTCATGGAGGATAGGTCCATCAATGGCTATTAGCCAGGATGGGCAGGAATGGTGTCCCTAGCCTCTGTTTACCAGAAGCTGGGATTGGGTGACAGGGCATGGATCACTTGATGATAACCTGTCTGTTCATTCCCTTTGGGGCACCTGCCATTGGCCACGGTCAGAGGACAGGATACTGGGCTTGATGGACCTGTGGTCTAACCCAGTATGGCCGTTCTTATGTTCTTGTATAGTGACAGAGCTCTTAGGAGTTGTGGGGAGATCCTAAATGGGGTGGAGAATGTAGTAACAGGGCCCCACAGGGATGGTGGTCAGAGGTGGTGGGAAATGCAGTGATTGGGCCCCATACAGCTACGTGCTGGACTTGGGTGTTCAGTTCTGCTCCTCGTGTCTCATGAATGATAGAAATTGAGGGGGTTCAGAGATGGGCAATGAATATGTAGGAGGGAATTATAAGTCTATGACTTTAATTTAGAGAGGAGACAAACAAGAAGGAACAGAATAGATACAGGATGCACATATTATACCCTCTATGGGACCTGCATCTCTAATGCTGGAGCCTGCAGTTCCTCTCCCAGGAATTCCACTGTTATCCCTCCACTCCAACTATTTCCTGAAGCCTTTCACCCTTCAGGGGTACCTGAATACGAGGTAGGTGCAGGATCTCTGGGAAGATACTGATCTCATTTGAGTGTGCAATAAGTGTGTGCAGCTGCTTGCAGTTTGCGATCGTTGTAGGAATCGTCTTCAGCTTGTTGCCACTCAGGTTCAGCTCTTCCAGTTGCTCCAGTTTGCTCAGTTTGCTGAAGGGGAAATTCAAAGTAGCACATCTCATGAGCCAGAACCTGCCACTGTCAGAATTCATAGGCACAGGACCCAAAGGGTTAATCTGCTCCCTGGGCAGGAGAAACTAGAGGAGCAGCCGAAGGAAAGGTTCAGCTGCTTACTAGCTGTGTTTCTGATTTATGGATAGGAGACAGCCAGCAAGTCCAAGGAGACATGGCAGTGAGAACAGGGACTGTCAGGCCAGAATTTGCCCAGTGGTCTGATTCCTTTGCTCCTGGCTCCTACATGCATGAAAGCAGAAGAGAAACTCATCACAGGCAACTTGCACCCATGAGTTTCCAGGGACTTGACTGAGAAGCTCTGCGGGTCACTATTGTAGATATTTAACACATCTTGGAATGCTGGGGAAGTCCCAGATGACTGGAAACAAGCTAATGTTTTATTTAATATGGATAAATGGCATGACCCATGAAACAATAGCTTAATTAGCTTGACACTGACCCTAGGCAAAATCATGGAAAGGCCAATATAGGATACAATCAATAAAGAATTAAATGATAGTAGCATAATTAATGCCAATCAACGTGGTTTTATGGAAATAGGTCTTGTCAAACAATCTAGATACATTTTTTTTTATGAGATTACAAGTTTGGATAACATAGATAAATGTGTTGACGTAATATACTTAGGCTTCTGTAAGACATTGTATACAACACATACATTAACAGATTAACTGCATTAAAAACTGGCTAACTGATAAATCACCAAAAATAAATCTAAATGGGGAATCATCATCCAATAGGGGCTTTTCTAGTTGGGTCCTGCAGGGTCTGTTGATGGCCCAATGCTATTCAATACCGTTAGCAGTGATCTGGAAGAAAATAAAGACTCGCTCATAGTAGAGTTTGCAGATGAAGCAAAATTGGTGGAGTAGTAAATAGTAATAAGGATGAGTCAGTTCTAGAGATCGACCTGGATCACTTGGTACACTGGGCTTATTGAAGTGCTTGTTGTTTAAATACAACAAATGCAAGGTCATACACCAACAAAGAACACAAGTCACACTTACAGGATGGGGAACTGTTTTCTGGAAAGTAGTGTAACTGAAAAGGATTTAAGGGTCATGGTAGATAACCACCTAAACAGGAGATGCCAATTCCAATGCTGTGGGTAAGAGGGGTAAAACTTGATCCTTGGCTGTATAGGCAGGGAATATCAAGAAGAACTAGGGAGGTATGAACTGGAACCATAAACTCCCTGAACATTAAACCTCACCAAATGAGGGTCAATCCATCCTCATCATCATATCCACTCATTATTATCCACACCCGAACATAGCCACTTTATGAATTTCATACCCTCATATCTCAACGTCTGTACTTTGACCCATCAACCTTTTACCCCCAACCGGGGATATTGCAGATTATGTATTCCTCATGCCACCTTATCTTAAACCAAACTTTGCACCCTCGACAATCTGTATGTTATTCCCTGATAACCAGAAACTTCTATGCTCAAACTCTGCTCACTATTTTTTTTTTTAACATCATCTTAATAAAATTTTTAAATCTGTTCCCCTCTGCTTACAGCACTAGTGAGACCATTATTGGGATAGTGTGTCCAGTTCTCATGTTCACACTTCAAAAAGTATATTCAAAAACTGGAAAGGGTTCAGAGAAGAGCCAACCAAATGATCTGAGGTCAATCTATTTAGTTTATTGAATAGGAGGTTAAGAAGTGATTTGATCACTGTCTAGAAGTACTTACGGGGGTAAGATTTCTGATGCTATATGGCTCTTTAACAGACAAAGGCATTATGAAATCCAATGCCTGGAAGTTGACTCTAAACAGACTCAGACTTGATAAAAGCACTTTTTTTTTAAATTAAAGTGAGGGTCATTAACCATTGAAACAACTTACCAAAGGATGTGGTTGATTTTCAGTCACCTGAAGTCTTTAAATCAACAGTGGGTACCTTTCTAAGAGAGATGCTCTAGCTCAATCACAAATTATGAACTTAATGTAGGAATCAACGGATAAAATTATATGGCCTGAGGTATGTAGGATGTCAGACTAAATTATCAGAACGGCCTTCCGGCCTGAAAATCTATGACTGTATGAACAGTACGATTCAACAGCCTTCACATCAACAGCTGCTGTAAAGTGCACTGCCCACTGCTATTAGCAATGCAGCCACCCAGGCTCAGCCAGCCATACACCCCCACCTGCATCACAATCGGCATGCACTAGGAGTACAGGAACCACAGCAGCCAGCACTATCCTGAGGGATACTGATGGATGCTTGGGAGGAGTGAATCTTGAGTCACATATCAGAGGCACAGCATCTCACCATGACACTGATAAGCTCCTACCAGTTCCCCAGGACAGAAGGAAACCCACTCACTCTAAACCAGCTGAGTTGACTGATTCTAGCCCTGTTAGCTGAGCATTACCTTTCCCCACCTTGTGTGTGCATTTACCTTGCAGGGAAGGTTTGCAGTTGGTTGTTTGCCAGGTGCAGGACCCGTAAGTTTGGGTGTCCCACCAAGTCAGGGATGCACTGATCTGTGAGCTTATTATTGGTCAAGTAAAGTAGCTGCAGCGCGCTGAGACTCTCTTCCCCAGGCAAGGACTCCAGGCTGTTGGCAGATACATTCAGGTACCTGAGACTAACAACAACGGATTAAGAGACATTAGGTTCCATCCCATCCAAACTGCTTCACCAGATACAACAGTGACAGAAGCCATATGAGAACCTGGACAGATAGCTAGGGCCGCATTATCATAACAGACGATTATAATGGTCTCTTCTGGCCTTAAAAATCTATGAATCTAAAAATTACTAGCTATATAGTACTGGAGATGCACATAGTGCTTTGCAACAAAAAGGGAGTGCCTGCCCTGAACAGTTTGCGAGCTAAGTTGAGAGATAACACAGGGAATGGGTAGAAAAAAGCTGAGTGCAGGAGGCTCTCACAGTCACTTGGGAGTATAAAGCTTGTGTTTTATTTTATTTAGGATTATTCCATTCCAGTGAGTATCTCTTCTGTGCCCCTAGCACCTTATACTGCACCTATCACAGTGGTATCCAAGTGCCTGTCTGCTTTCTCCTTTGTACCTCAAAAACTTATATACTGGTGTCAAAGAATGAAAACTCCTCAGGGCAGGAATTTGTGTTCCTATGTGCATATGAATGGTGGTAGAGAAACAACAATAACTACAGGCAACTTCCTTGGTGGGCTGGTGGGTTAGACTACACTCACCTTGCCTGCTATTATACAGAAACCTGATTCCCTCAGCAGCCAGCTGGGTGATTTCTCCCCTTGGCACCTGGATTACTCTGCCTCATAAAACACAAATCCGCCCTATTACCTCTTACTCAACAGGCAATTAAGCTCCAGAACCTGGCACGGTCAGTCACGCAAGCAGCACCATAACCCTTTACAGCTCCAAAGGGGAGACAGCCAGAGGAAACTGATCTTTCACCAGAGTTAGGTAAAAGATTCCATCCTAATAAAATGTGTTCTGCTGCCACTTACTTCAGAGCCTTGAAGAACATCATCTCTGGGAGTTTAGTGATCAGGTTATGCTGGAGGTCCAGCACCTCCAGGGGAATGTGTTCCAGCAGAGGTGGAAGGCTCTGCACGTGGTTGTGCCCCACCATCAACTTCCGAAGACTCAAACTACTCAGGGTCCTAGGAGGACAGAGAGCTTATTGAATTAGTTTGGCTCACCCTTCTTTCAGAGCCCCACAGCAGAAAGATCCTGGTCTTTAATCCTGTTATTAAACAAAATTAGGGCAGAAGAACATTACATTGCCTGGGTCAGTGAATTTTAAACAATGCAAAGAGTGAGAGGCATGTGTGATCAGGCAAGCCCCTACCTTTGTGTACACACATGTATCTGAGTGCCCCTGCAGTTCTATCCAAGCTACTGTACACGTATCTGGAGATCACTGATTTGTGCGGTAGGCATGTCTATATAGATACACTGTTGAGCATACTTCACAGTATAGGATGAAGGAGAAATGGAACATCAAAGGATGGACTAGAATTTAGTGACTTCCTCCTTCTGACAGAAGAGACTATTCTCAATGCTGACTGATTAAGGGATTCTGGGCTCGAACTGCGCTGGATCAACAACCCAGTGCGGTTTTGAGGCTACCATCATATTCTCCAGAATCTCAGCTTTTCTTAAAAAAACAACCCAAGTCTCTAGCCCTAATAATTGCAAAGATAATTTCAGAAAGTTGAGCTGAGTGTAACCACTACAATGATGTCTACCTGAGTCTGCAGACAGCCCAAAATAACAACAAACATGTGTAAACTGCCCCATTAATTTCAGTGAGATAACTCAGGCTTGGTCTACACTACCCCCCTAATTCGAACTAAGGTACGCAACTTCAGCTACGTGAATAACGTAGCTGAAGTCGAAGTACCTTAGTTTGAACTTACCTTGGTCCACACTCGGCAGGCAGGCTCCCCCGACGACCCCCCGGGAATCCTCTCGCCCAG